GGGCACGCCGTGCGGAAAACAAACGCTTTACGCCCACTAAACTGTTTCGAAAAATGCACTTTTTAGGCAGATATCACAAAAAAGAAATATTGAAACATGAAATGAAATACTGAACTGGATCTACTTCATGGCAACGAACACTGCGATCTCATTGATCAGAATTAGGACAGAAGGAATAAATAGTTCAATACGGAGGAAGCTAAATCATCTGTCATCAAATGTCGCCTCAATTCCATTCACACAGAATGGGAAAAATAATCTCCTTCTAAGTAGAGCAATTGACTTTTAATCCGAAGTCTTGGCACATGGTCAAGTCGTTATCTTGAATGTTATTTTACGTCGCTCTGATTGTCTTCTCTGCTTGTATTCGCGAATCATTATATCCGACCGGGAAGCAATTCTAGGTACCATCTGAAATTTCCCAACCCCGTGATTCTCCTGTCTCCGTTGTCACTGAAGACTGACAACGGTGTCTGAACGCTGTGAGTGGTATATATGGCGCTAGGTTTGTGCCGTCCAGACCCGAGAATAAGGGGAAGAGCCAGGCGCCGGGGGTCGGGGTGAGGAGGGTGCGCTCCTTTGTGGATGTCTACTTCCGCTAGACTACCCACTGGGGTAACGACAACGACGAAGCGTCGACGGATGCGAGAATACCGTATATTGGCGTATATGTTCACAACTCCTCTCATAATGTGCCACCAAAAAAGAAGAGAAGGGATAAAAAGAAGGTGAAAATATTTCTCTTCACCGGTGGCATGATGGAAAACATCGAGTGGAAGATTATTGGTAATATACAATGCAGAAAAATAAATAATTGAATAACGGAGGTGAAAAAATAGTACCGTGGGGTTACCAGTATTCAACAGTATACGAGGATCCGACATTCGAGCCCACTTTCCGTGATATTTCTTTTTTTTGCATTTCTCATGTAAGAAACACCTTCTTTCAATAGTCAATAGGCAGAGAAACTTTTTTCTGTGGATTAAACTGCGAGTTTTTGTTTCTCTGTGTAGAATAACTCTCAAAAAAATTTTTTTGAAAATTTTACCCTGGGATTCTTCTTAGACTGTCGGTTACTGGTACCTCCATGGTATATTTCCCCATTAGGCCGAAAAAAACTTTTCCGGCCAATATGGGTTTGCAGCCCGAGCCGAAGGTGAGGGCCGTGTGCCGAACAATATTTTTTCTCTACGTGTCCGTGTATCGCTGCCTCCAGTCGGAATGACAAAAATTATCTAAAAAACGCAATTAAAACAATTTTACGGCTTATTCTATTCCAATATTTGTGATAAAACTGAAGAAGAACATCCGCAAAAGACTCATAAATTGCTAATAGAAATTGCTAAACAAAGAAAAAGTTAGTGATGGATGTTTGAAGTTTGAGAATTTTCTTAAACAACTGCTTAAAAAATTCAGCCTTACATATATTAAACACTCGTTTACACAATCCGTCATCCTCCATTATCGATCTCTCCCCCTTCTTCGACACTCATGCATCATTTACCCACCCATCATATTGCACTTCCCGCCCACACGGGAGTATGAGGTATATTTTCCTCGAAAAATAGCGGAGTTTATCCCACCGATAGACACTCAACTTTATCGCACATTGCACTCCGCTTTATCATGAAAGTAAAAGTACTTTCATCTTCCTTTTCCTTCAGATTTCAACAGAATCAATATTTGATGTTTAGTGTGTATATTTCCACGCTAGTGGAGTGTCAGAAGTAAATAAAACTCGTGTTTACATAAGAAGGAGTTGATTGAACGTCGATAAAACACGTCATCATGAGAAGTTAGATATAACTAGGGGGCTACGCCCGCTGCTCGCTTTGATCGCCAACTCCCATATGACCTCCATGATCCTCATTCTGACCCTTATGACCCTTAATTTCTGACCTCCATAACCCCTATTTGGACCCTTACTATGATTCTTGTGACCTTTATCCGTATTTTCATCTGATCCTTGTGACCCTTATTTAAACCCTTAATCTGACCCTTGTGACGTTTAATCTGACCTATATGAGCCTTATTTGGACCATTATTCCAACCCTCATGACCCTTAATCTCATCCTCATGACCCTTATTCTGACCTTTATGACCCTTCATCTGAGTCTTGTGATCCTTATTCTGACTCACGTGCCCCTTATTATGACCCTCGTGACGCTTATTTTGACCCTCATGATTCTTATCCCTCAAGAATCCTCAAGGGTTCCTCAGGACCATTCTCGTGACCCTTATTCTGACTCTTGTTACCCTCGTGACCCTTAATTTAACCCTTGTGAATTTTATTCTGGCCCTCGTAACCGTTATTCTGACCCTTTTAACCCTTGTGACCCTTATTTTGACCCTCATGACCCTTATTCTGACCTTCATGATCCTTATTTTGGAGCTTTTATTTTAGAATCTTAATTTCAAGTACTAAATTTTCATTACCAGAAGTCGACTTGGATTTTTATAATATAGAGACATAGTAGAATGTCTAAAATTTCTAGTTGACTGGGAATTAGAGCTACCGCATCGGGGTGCGATTCTCGCAGCATCAACCGTTGATCATTTGGAAATTGTTCCAACGATTCGCGGTTTAACCCCAATCGTGGACAGGGATGGAATAGAAGGGAACAATGTGACCCAATGTGTTTTGTGTGCGCTTGGAAAATGTTGGAGGGCATGCTGATACACTGGGATGTATGAGTAAAATACCATTCCAAATTCGAGTATCGAATTCAGCAGATCCCCATGTACCACCAGTATGTGGAAACATCAGTTATTCAACATTCGTTCCATCGGGTAAAAAGCATTTTGACATGGAATCATTATTATTCTCGTCAACATTTCCTCTTTCATAATTTTCTTGATTCTCCCTCTTTTCTTCTCCTCAATTTACATAAACGGGGAGGGAGGGCGAATGTGGAAATGTGTCTGTAATTTCGATGTCGAAAAATTAAAGTCGAGGCAATCACTGGGAATGATCGGGATTGAAAGGATAAATTGAATTAAAACTTTATTCCGTACCGATGGACTTTCGACTAGCACTCAACCTGCGATTAGTTAAATTGACGAAACACTCAGTCCACTCAGCCAGGCACGAACACCTCCCCATCCCCGCCTTCTCCCCGCTGCGTTATTACAGCGATGGTGGGCATTTTTAGTTACACGTCTAGGTCGTGTGAAGCGAATGTGTAGTTAAAGGCCCATGACAATTCTACGATTTTACGGAAAATTGAGTAGAGATGAAAATGCCTGGAAAGCACGTCCGCTCTGTCATCATGTGGTCTCTTCTCAGTATCCCACATCAGAGAATCCGTCCTCCTCAAACCCGCTTTATCTCCCAATGTCCTGATACCTAGGAAAATCTGCACAGCCATGCTATATCTCGTAACGTGTCTTGTTAACTGCCCCATTGAATTTAAAATTGAATATTTCTGTGATTTTCAGCTTGTGAATGGACTTGACGGACCGAGGTATATCTGTGAAACGGAAGTAATGGATGAAGTGGCACTGGCAGCGAGTAACCATGAGTACGCTTCGCCTGGTAACCACACAAGCAAAAACGCCAACGGCAACATTATCACCCTCACACTCAAGAATAACCACCTCATTGTCGAGACTGAGGAACGAGCTGTGAGTATATCAAAAGTGTGCGGAAGATGAAGGGCGAGAGAGAGAGAGAGAGAGCGAGTGCGGAAGTAGGGAGGAGTGGGAGGGAGACAAAAAAGAAAGTTGGAGAGGTGCACGGGTGCGCTCTGGGTTCGAGTGGAAAAAAGTTTGTGGGATAAAGCTGGGAAGCAAAAAAATTAGGGAAAATAAAATGAAAAATGTGAGAATTATATAAATTTTGCTTAGGAAAAAGTTCTGCGGACGTGAGAGGTTATGAAACGTCGAGAAATGGTTGGGATGAAGTCGATGTATTGAAGAGTGGAATGAACAAATCAAGCGTGAAACAAATTTTTTGTCATTCCGGCCGAAAGGCAGTGATTTACGGACGCTATAGCCGTTCTGACAAAAAATATCGTTCGTTACACGGCCTAAAAAAAATGTTCTAGCTCATATGGTTGTAACCAGTCCGATAATTTCCCTGCAGCCTCGGAATTTATCACATTATCAGTGCGAAACGTGTCACGTGACCCCGAATACCGCACTCCGATTGGACAAAATCAGAATTGAGGAAATTGTCAGTTGAATACCATTTTGATTATGTAAAATAACAGTTAAATAGTGCAATTCTATTCGCTGAAATTTGGATAGGAAAATTCTCGATATAATTCTCTTTTGATTGGACCACAGGATTTCGAATACCGCAATTGCGCTGGTCGGCAGGGGGATGGGGAAATAATCCATTAAATTCCATTTTTTTTCTAATAGTGTAGATTTATTTTTCGGGTAAAATTGTTCTGGTTATTTTTCTTAATCAGAAATCAGTCTATCAGAGCGGAGTATTCGAGGCTACCAAACTAGTGGTATTACTACTGGAAAGAAATTTCATGGGAAATTTAATAACATACAAGAGCTTCAACATTATCTGGTATTTTCCGATAGGATCGTTGCAAACAAACGAGAGGGTCAAGTTTTTCAGGTAGAATTTTCCTATGTTCCTGGTAAACTTGACTCCTTCGATTGTATGGAGGGAACCTAAAGGGAAATATGTGACGAATTTTGAAGCCCGAGTGGTATTCGGGGGATTATTTTCCCGATCCAAATTTCCGCCAACAGAACTGTCCCATGAGACTCGTTTAAGTCTCGTGGGCAGCTCTAGGAATTTTCAAATTCATTGCGGAAAATGAAAGCATTTTAAAATTATTCAATAATTTTCATTATCATGTGGACCGGACAATGGTAATTCCATTGAGTACTCCAGAATTGATTTTTCCGCCTGATTTTACAATAATAAAATACATGAAAATTTCGTGTGAATCAGTGATTATTAAAAATTTCAAGATTTATCACTCCAAATTTCAGGAGGAATTTTCTAGCAGTGCAAGTCATTACATACATAATTAATTAATACATTAATCGAAGAGTAGTACCATTTAACTGTAATAACATGCAATCGTAGTTACAGCAAATCGTGCATTCCCGACTTTTTCTTGATAATTATCCAATTAACGCCCGTGTAGAGAGCTCATAAACTTGAGTGATAAACAACACCGAAGAGAATAATGACTCCATCGTAGTTTCACACTCAATAGCCATACAAACAAAGGACACGTCGCGAACAAATGAGAATACGATATATATCAGCATCGAGAGTTTCCTCTCGTGTTACGGTTAATGATCGTAGTCCATTTAATCGTCAACTAAAGTAAAATAAAACGCGAGTGGCCGTAATCCGAGAAACACTTGGCCGCATGAATCCCCGTGTTTTACGATTTGCAAAGTACAATCGCCTCGTGGAATAAATGCAACAGGTGTATTTTCGGCTCTTGTCAAAAACTATTTTTCCATTAGCTCGATGCATTTAAATGAGAATTGAAATTGAAAACAAGGTGCAAATTTGAATGTGACTGAGGGAAAACTTTTGGAGATCAAATTAAATTTCATTGAAAATCCCAGGTTTATCGGTTTGAATGGAGTCGCTCCAGTTCACCAGTCGTTTTCCTTTTGATAGCACAAGGAAACGCGCGAGTTCCAATTATCGAACTCCTTCAGACCTCGTTTTCTTTGGGATAGAGAAGGTTACTAGGTGATTCTCTATCTCCGCCTATCGCTCTACTTATACAGCTGGAAATGTTGGAAATGGCGGAGTGAAGAGAGAGGAGGAAGTTGAGTATATTGAGAGAAGCTCATCTGTAGTGCTGGTGATCTTCCTGAAGTTCGGTGAGTCTCTGTGTCGACGGCAGAATGGCTAAACTATCGGGGAACAACGTAAGGGCGTGGAGTCACAACGAGCGGTGTATGAAGCTTTGAAGGCATCTGCGGTGTGTTTGATCGTTTTGGTTTCTCTATAATCGTTTGGGGGATTCGTAAACAGATTTGGGAGGTTTTTGATTGGATTAGTGAGCTCGGTGAACATTTATCGATTGTAGAGATGATTCTGTGGCTGAAGGAAACACGGTTAACCAGAATAACAATTTCTCAGTTGATTGAATGAAGTTTTTGAGAGGGGGTCGATTTGGTAACTAGGTTGTGAAACGTTCGATGTCAAATTCGAGAATTTTATTGATTGTTCCATATCCCGAGTCGAATAATTGGACCTGACAAATTCTACTTAGGTCTCTCCGTTCAGAACTGGATAGGTCTTGGGAAGCCTCTTCCCAAGTGCTTCCGAGACCTTTCTACCTCTGGATATGTCCCACTTCAGCACTTGTTAGGTGTAAGCAGGACTTGCATTCAGACTTTCCAAATCCTTGCCGGTCCCCGTAATTCTATGGGCCTATATTAAATCTGCGTGTGTATAGATCATTGGGGTCTAGGAGACTCCCCTCGTTCAAAACCATCTTTAGAGGTCCTAGCACGCCATTTCTCGACCCGCTCTTTCGTTTGAGCTCAAAAAAACATTCATATCTTGTCTGACATCTTTGCTACAAACTCGGGTTTTCAACTCGGGTTTTCAATTGAAAACACAGGGT